CGATCTCCGCAGAGGGTTGCGCGTCAAGTCTCCAAAACGAGCGTTTCGTACGAGACTTCCTCAAAAACTCACACGTCAAAGTCTGCAAAATGAGCGTTTCGTACGAGACTTCCGACATTCACCTCTACCACAACTCACAACCTCACGATTCCCTGCGCCTGCCACGAATCTTTCCCCATCCACACGTCTAACGCGCACAAAGTACTGCGCCTGCCACGAAATGTCACCTCCCTCACACCTCGCAACCTTACGATTCCCTGCGCCTGCCACGAGAATTGCACTTCCACGCTTCAAAGCCCGCACGAAGGAAGTCCTGCGCCTGCCACGAAAAGTGACAATATCATCGCATGTGAGCTTCAACAAAATTTGCACCACACCACACGTTTGGAATGATTTCGACCCGTTCAGAGCACACTCCCATCCACCAAAATCGCCATTTCAGCTGAGACTTGTCACGAAAACAGAGCTTCGATGCCACACCCTGAAACGCAAATCCCAATGGCACGGCCACATCCAACACCCAAAAACACGACTCTCCAAACGCTAATCCCAATGGCACTGCGCAGCAAACTGCGGATCTCACAAAACGCTGCGCCTGTGCAGCGAAATGCATCACGTTTCTTGCGCGACATGTCGGTGTCATGCCAATCACAATGGAATTGCGGCGCAAACTGACACGTGACACGTCCATGCAAAGTCACTTGCAAAAGCTTCTCCCAATGGCAGCAAATTTGAGACGCGACGACGACGACAAACGAAGAGAGACGACGACAGACGACGACACGATGCAAGCCACGCGAACACAGCTCCAACCCCCAGACCCCCAACTATAAACGGGAACCCTTCGCTACGCATTCGGGAATAAACAAAGGACCCACCCATGGGTAGCCCATGTATATCCCATGGAAGCCCATGCTTGGGCATGGAGGCTTGGGATCCAAGACTTCATTTCCTCCCTTAAAAAAAAGTAAAAACGCCTCCTCCCAAAAAGCCATGGAGCCAAAAAGCCATGTAGGAAGACCAACAATCTGCGTCAATCTTCCATAACTTGCCATTAAAAAAAACCAACAACAACACTCCTTCCATGGCTCGGACAGCCACATCGGCTGTGGGCCCCAGGTCACCTGCGCAGCGGCCAGCGCCATGAAGCCCAGCCATGGCGACATTCGTCCGGAGCTCTACAGAATCATCGCAACAAAGTGCCACAGACTCCATCATCTTGGGTCGTCTAAGATCAAGATCCACCAAACATGCGATAAAGTGACTCTAATCTGGCCAAGTTGCAGCATCTGTTTGCTGACGAACGAGTTCTGAATTGTCTTGCTTCAAGAAGATTGGCGTTTGAACAGTTGGCAGCTTCTGCCCCTCTTTACCATGAGGGACTTCATGAGTACTATTATCTTCGAGGAAAACTGAGGCCGCAAACACAGCTTTAGAATGTTCAAATTGTACAATGGACAGCTTCTCTTTGATTCACTGGCTTTTGGCCTGTACTTCTATAACCTGGTCCTACTATGTACTTCCAATTGTCCTGCAGCAGCGAGTTCTTTTGACATGCCTTCGATGTTTGCTTGCTTCGTTCCTCTCGGGTCAAACCCACCACGGCTGGAGACCTCCTGCAAGATCTTCGATGATCTTCGTTCGTCCATCCTTCTCCTGGATCTGCGCAAACGTTTTCAACTGGTCCTAGTTTATCTCCTCACTTGCGACACGTTCCCAGTCTGGAACTCTGCGACGAGGTATTTTTACTTCTGCCCTCAGTCTTTTGTCAAGGTCGCAGTATTGGAAGGCTTGTGTTAACCCCAGCAAACTTGCTCGAACTTAGAGGTCATGGACGCTTTTGAGGACACCGAGCTGTTTCTGGTCTTTCTGTCACCGAAGGCTCCTTGAAACTGTCTGACTTGTGGGCTTGTTCTATATAATGTGTTTCCCCTTTTCACTGCTTCCCTTCTCTGGCTCGCCTTCGTGCGACTCCTCATCCTCAAAGTCTCTTCCACTTCCTCTGAGCTGTCATGGTCTTCTTCCTCTGCTGTCTCTTGTGGAGCTTCTAGTGGAGCTTCTCGTGCTTGCTGTGCCCCCTCTTCCTCTTGTCTTCAGAAGATTTGTCAGAGCCGCAACTTGCAGCTGTCAGGGGCACTGGTCTGCCCAAAGTAAGTCCTTCTTGTCTCGGCTGCATCCGCTTGGGCGCTGCCCATGCTGTATTTGCCTTTCACTGGGCCAACTGGGCCGAGTCCACATGCAGCTTGTGGAGCAATGCATGCTCGGTCTAGAAAGCTATTCAAAATATGGGTGCTGCTGACCAAGGATGCAGCATCAGCCTGCTCCCTAGAGCTCTGGAGCTTCTCAACCTCACGATCCGGTCTTCCTTTGTGCTTGAGGGACCGTGTCTTCACCATGAGCCTGAAGTCCTTTGTTGCAGCGTCTCCCCAAACTGAATACAACTCTGTGGCAGTTGCTGACTATGCATAGGATTATGGAGGGTTAGAGGTTCAACTTTCAACTGCAGGTATGTACAACACATTCAAGGCTTAGAATTTCAACATGTTGGAGGTTTCACGAATCAGCATTGCTGGTTTTTACAGTGTCCTGGAAGCTTCAAACGCGCTGAGCATGTGCTTCTGTTCCACGGGCGAAGAGCTTGTTTTTCCTTTTGGTGCACGGGCAGCAAGCACAAGGCTGAACGACCTTGTGATACACCTAACCACAAGCTCAAACGAAGATGGTGAGGTGCTCTGATCCGGATCCTGCAACCCCATGGAAGTCTTCAGGTGTTGATCCGCTTCGGTAAATGATCCGTCGACATCGCTGGAGTTCAGAGGTGTTTTCGCTGATGAGTTCGACCCAAATCGATGTGCAGCCTGTCTTTATCGATGTCGATATGGTTCAGCCTGTCTGAGCCTGGCAAATCCCTGAAGATTGCAGAGACATCAGGTACCAAAAGCGCAAATTGGTCATTTCACTGGTAGATTTCGTCCGCCAAGTCTTCTTCTTCACCTTTCGGGGTTGCGTGCGGGATCATCCTGGAACATTGCCTACTCGTCTAATCGATAGCGAAGGCGTCGCTTTGAACAAGTCATGAACAAATTGCATTTGGAACAGTCCAAGCCTGTGACGGCAAGCTGCTCCGGCGGCTCTGTTGTTTCACGGTCTTCGGCACCTTGTAAGGCCTGTGAAGCTGTTTGCACCAACTCTTCCAACGGTGCCGAATTCGTGGACGGCAAATCTGCTCTCGTAGGCTCCAACCTGGCTTGGGCAAAGCATACAGATGTGTCCCCTCTTGCAGTGAGACAAAGAAATAGATCTAACAAAGGGCCACAAGGCTGCCAAGGCTCCTTGAAGGCCCAAGGCTCTTCTCTGTCTCAGCGTTGCTGTTCGCTGCATCACTGTCTACACGGGATGCCTCGGAAGATTGCCATGAAGGCGTGGGCATCGGTGGCAACGGCGAAGGGGACGCAATTGGCGGAGGTGTCGGTGGTGGCGGTGGCGCTAGTCGTTCTGGCGGCCTTTGGGATGTGGCAACCAAAAGATGATCGTCATTCTATGACGTCAACTTCCCGGTTCACAGAAACTTGGTCAGGCTTTGATGGATGACTTGTAAAAAGAAAAGCAAGCAGTGCTGAGTACGTCTGTGTGCACTTGCATGACGTGGAATGGCGGTCTCTACGTCTTCCAAGCCTGTCTGTAGAAGGTACTGCATCAGCATCCTGGAGAGGAATTGCCGGACTTATACTGTTGTGTCAGCAATTACCTTAACAGTATTCCCAAAACTTGCATTGAAAGATACGTTACAACTACCCGCATAAAAGGCTGCCTACTTAATGCGCCCATCACTTGCAGTCTGTTTATGTGACATTCTCTTCACTGCCCCTCCTCATCATTAGATCTTGCTGACGTGTCGTTCACCTGCAAGTTATGGATACTTCTGAATTCCTTGTGTCCTCAAGGAATATCTCCGCTCGTGTCGATCATCCACAGCGGAACGCCGCGCGTTCCTCACACGGCTCGTGCCCACGCCTTGCAAATGAACTTCTGACGATCGGTGCAGAAGGTATCCAGCCAATGACCCCGGAAGGGCTTCGAGACCTGCAAGGCCCGACGGATCGGTCATGGCCCGACGGATCGGTCGTGGGTCATGGGATGCCCACATGAAGACGCGCCATGCTTAAACTCAAGTCGTGTTCTCCGGCCCAGGCCTCAAGGACATTACAGTCAGCTGTGTGGCCGTAGGTACCTTGAGAAGACATAGGGCTATATACTGGCTGCAAGTTTTTGATGGGGTGTGGAGAGCTATGCAACACTCAGAATATAACTAAAAAAGGTCTTGCCAGAGCAGATTTTTCGGGTGGGAGATCCACTAGTAAGTGCTTGCAGCGCCCCAACATGTGAGAGGACACCTTCCCGTCTGCTTCGTAGCACTCTCAGCATCTCGCAATGCCGGTGGTCTGTGCAGAAATCATTGTTTGGCTCCACATTCCTGCGAAGCGGAAAAGGGCTTTGCGAAACATACTAGCAAGTATACAGCAATCATGTGGTAGGACGTCAGCTATCTCCCAAGGAATGCCACACCGAATGTTCCATTTCGGCCACGGTCCCTCCGCCATGGTCAAACCAACGGGACCATTGGAAGGCGGTGCCATCCACCTGAGGCGAACTCTCCGTCCCTCGGTCCGGTCCCGGTGCGAGGTCCCGGTGTCGTCCGTCGTGTCGTCTCTTCCTGCGGACCAGTGACCCAAATCCACTGTCGCCTTGGCTGGTTTCGATCCGTGCCACCTGCGTTGGCAGGATGAAACACAACTCATAAGACTAGATGAAGGGCTTTGGGCAACAAAACACACGCGGATTGCTGGGTTTGAGCTTCATGAAGTGGCAGAACCTGAAGAATATTCATCTACTTTGATGCACCCACCACTTTCGACAATTCTGAGTGACCCTCCTCTGGAAAATGACATCAAACAGCTTGCCCTGCCTAGCCAACAACCTTGGTGGTAGGGCCTTGCAGGTAGCAAAAGTCGGCGATACAAAAACTCAAAGTGTGACAAGTAACAAAGACTCGAAAGTCAAAAACACCTGTAAAAGTGCTGTCATCTCAATGAAATTGCGCCTTACGTTGCCACATGCGAAGATGTACTGATCATTCTCGGCCTAAATCATGGCAAATCGCTGTTTGAAGACTGCTTCAGTTGTTCGAAGACTACAGTGAGGCTCGTGGTCTTGTATCGGCCTTGCTGTGCACAGATGCTAGGTGGGCGCCACGATTTTCACACTGCTTCTTGGCCTTTCAGCAAACTGAGCAAGCTGAATGTGCACAAATCAAGCTGTTCCCTCGATTCTCATTATGTCTCGTCAAACTCGAATCAAATCTTGTCGGGAGAGGACCGTCCTGCTCTATTGTTGTCGATGTATATGTTGCTTGATTTGCTCGTGCAAAACGCGTCGTCTAGCAACGGGCATGCTGTGCATCTGCACAACTACCAGATCAGCATTAAAGTGCAACGGAGCTACAGGCAATCCACTAAATACCAGTTCTAAGCAGCTTCTACCTTCTGTGAACAAGCCATTGGAAGGTGTTCTTCAACTTTGTGCAATTGGACTTCACTATCCTTCAATTGCTCTTACAAGAGTTCTTGTAAAAAGAACGCCACTAAACAGACATATGACATATGTGACATATGTTCTTTCTTCGTGTGCATTCGCCTCGTCCCAATTGGCAGGACCTTCGAAGACCTGCAAGCAAATGTGTTCAAAGCGGATCCAGTCATCGGGGCAGACTGCGGCTGCCATCAGCCTGTGCAAAGGCAAAAACGCGTGCCAAAGGAAAATGGTTTCTTTTCGAAAGAGGGATCAATGGATGGGTTGAAGGGAAAGATCTACAGTAAAGGAAATCATAGTTTTCACCTTGCCTGGCAGCCAATGCCACAACGAACACTGCAGAGTTTCCTGCAAGAATGGCTGGTTCATCGCAAGTCCAGCTACGTTGACTGGCAATAGAAACAACGAAGGTAAACCGGTTGCACGTGGGAGTTGAATCCAAGATGAACACCCCAGCAACCATATCTGATTCATTGTCCATCAAGACCGAAGAAGGATCGCCTTTGTTGGACTGCTTCAAGTCCAAAAGAATTGGGAGCAGCGACCCAATAAGCAGCGCAACAAAGCCACTCTAGGCATTCTATTTGATTGAATGCATTGAAAGCGTCCTGCCATTGGCACTTGGGAGGGATGGCATGAGCTTGAATCCAAATCGAATGCTTAAATTTCAAAATCTTGGCGGACATTGGGAACCCCATTTCAAAGAGCGTGACTCCTACCTGTCAAACTTGTTGTACCTCACAGTCTGTGCTAGTCTTCCAAGTCTGTTCAAAGATTCCAGTCGTCTCTCGCTCAATCGATTGACGTGAGAGTCTCGAGCCCAAGTTCAAAGACAGGTCTGGCCCTGGCCGACAGAAATTGGAGATTTGCATGGCAAATGTCTCTCGCTTGCTCAGTCATTGCTCTGAATGGTGGGGCAAAAGGAAGTGGAACGCTGCCGCTCTTTTCTTCCACTGCCTTTGGCCAGAGGAAGTAGCCCACTTTGGCTCCAAGCAAAGGGAGCCAAATTCTGTGGGCCAGACTGCCAAACGGGCGAATCCTGAAAATGCTCTGTTGAAAATCCTTGCGGAGTTGCCATGTTATGTGTCGATGTCTCTCATATCTTGCTCTTTTAAAAAGGTATATAGTGGCACGAACCACAATTTCTTTGTTCATAAAGTGCAACCCAACATCAGCACCTCCTCCATCTTGGAGGAATGCCGAGAATATCGGCAATGCGCACGTGTAAGGCCCAGAAAACACCGCTTGTGATGAATTCTAGGCATCTAAAAAATCATTCAGTCCAAACTGTCCAAACTGTCATTTGATCATGTTTAGTTCACACGCGCTCTGCTTGGACAAACATGATGGAGATGTCTCATTTTGCCTATAGTGACTGCCCATGTTTAGAGAGAGAGAGAGGGAGAGTGAGAGTAAAAGTACAAGGAGCTAAAAGAATCTGTGATCCCGAAGCCTAACAGTGTGAAATTGCTGCCATGACTGAACACGCTACAGTACCAACACCCACGTTCTTTCCCTTGTACATATCGTGTGGCTCAATCCTCATAGCGTGAGGTTGTCAAAAGTTCTCTCACCTACCTCTGGAAACCTCAGGTACCAGAGTGGAAGGGTCCGTGAAGAGCGAGCGCTGCATCTGCAAGTTCGAGACCCACCGATCAATGTTGAATGGAATTTTTCTCTGTGTCGGACATCGCAAAAGTCGCTAAGAGGAAGCATTTGCAGCGCAAGGTCAGCTTGAACATGCGCTATTTCTTCCTCGATCGGCGCTTCTTGGCATTCTTCTTTGCAATCAGTGCTTCCATCGCCTAGAAGCGGTCAAGGTTACCAGAGCATCAAACACGTTTCAAAAGCTGACCAGTCAAGGACACAAACTCTTTATCCTCAAGATCTCAGTCTTCTGATTTGCCAAAGAAAAGGGGACAAATATCTGGTTGACAAACGAATCAGAAGATGGGAAGACTTTTAAAATCATAGGTCTTCCAAAGCAATGCCTGCAATTCTTTGAGCTTGATGAAGTACTTTGTCTTCTGTTCGCGCTCTTCTAACATCTCCTTCTTGTACTTCTCCACCATTTTCTGATCGTATGCACCACGATTCAATGCAGAACTCTTCGTCAACCCATCCCACATCCAAGAGTGAGACATGTTTACATCGTTTACCTCATTTACATCGTTAGATAATCATGATCCCATGGGCAGTGCAACGAAAATTTGCAGCTATTTCGCTTTGGCTTTCTTTGGCTTCAGCATTAACTTGAAAGGCTCTATTTAGCGCCCGCACCATTCCTTTAAGGCCTCTTTAAGGCCTTTGAGAGAGCATGAAAAGAATCATGTATTCCTATAGTGTTTTGATGTGTTTTGGGTGTCTGGCACCTGCCCTGCCTCTGACTCCATGCGGACACGTTCCACCTCTGCTTCTGCTTGTGCAGTGCGACGTCGAAGTGCTTCCGGACTGTTCTTCGCCTGGCACAATGGGGCAAACTGAAGGCGCCTCCCTTGCGGTGATAGCGTCCGACATTTGCTGGTGTTCCCTTGATGAAGTGGACAGAGGTCATGACTGATCATCATCTGTTTAAGGCTCGACAGAACAGCCTGCCGCTCAAGTTCGTCGCGAAGCTCTTTCACCAAGGCCTGTCAAACTTTACAAAGGAGCTGCTGTATTCGACCGGTAAAACGGGCAGAGTGAATGCAAATGTCCAGTGTGGCCACACTCGCTTCAATCATCGATCCAATCATGCTTTGTTGTTTCTTGTGATAAAATGATTGGTCCGATGATTGGATGACTCCTGCAATGCTTCTGTTGGTTTGTTTCAATCTTTGTGGTCTCTTTCTATTTGAAGACAGCTTCTCAATGCTTTTCATCGCTTCTTGCACTTTGGATCTCCTCTTCACGCTGCTTTCCCGCAATGGCAAGTCGTGCAGCCGCATCCATCTTGCCGGCACGCTGATTGGCCTCCGAACGTCGCAGGTTATTCGGTTACTCACAGGGTCTTTGAGAAGGGAAGTAGAAGTTCCTTGTTCCTAGTAGTATGGCCAGGAGCCCCTAGTAGCGTCCTTGCTCCTAGTAGTAAGGCCAGGAGCCCCTAGTAGAAGTTGAACTGGGCATCGGTGCAACCCGGCCATCCGTGGACCACCCGTGGACCATCCGCATCCGGCCTCCTTCAACTCTGCTCTGAGTTCCGCCAGCTGCTCCTTGGACGCGCATGGTGAAAGGAGAATGAAGTCATGTGGAACATCAAAAATGATGAAGAAAAAGAAAAGACATACAAACATTACTATATATTGTCATATCAAAAGAAACTAATGTGTGTATATATAATATATGCAATTCTATTGTTCAAACATGCACCATGCAATGTCTGAAAAGCTTACTTTTATATCTCTTGGTAGCACTCATGAATAGAATCAGAACGCCTCCTAGTCGTCTAGAATTGCAAGACCTTTCTTTCGGGTAGGTTCTTAACCGCTCAGCTATGCTCACCCGGTGGAACCTCTCCTCCAGGCCACTGCGGAGCGCACGCTCCACGCCGAGCTCTTGGCGTTCTTCTTGCAAACGGCCTTGCAAGGCCTCATCAGGCAGCCGCAGGGAGGGGAAGCGCTGCTGGTGCCCTTTGCAACTCGCAGTCCTTCTAGTAGAGTTCCTTTTTGCTGGGTCTTGTATTTCACCCAAGAAGCAAAGTCAATGCCACATGCTTGGGTTGCATGAAACTGAACCCGGTAAAAAAAGCCTGACTGTTGGTTTCCAAAAGGAAGTCATCAAGGGAAACGCAAGGTGTTTCGGCAAAACAAAGCGGTTTTCAAGAATCGAGGAATAACTGCCAACTGCCAAACCAAACGCCTCGTGCTCGCTCTCCAAGGTTATGTACTCTTCAAGGATTGAATCTCCCAATTCCTGGCGGAAACGCTGTGCCTTTTTGTTATGTCTAAACAGTTCTTTTGAATTACTGTAACTGCAAGTAAATATTTGCGCGGGTGGGGTAGGCCGCTGAGAGGTCGAGGTATAGTATAGGCGGCTGTATTTGGTAAAAGACGCGGTCCTAGGTAGGACGCAGGATAGCTCATGCTTCTATTCATTTGGTTCCTAGATGTTTCGGGAAACTTAGCTTTAAACATGCAAGACTCAGTCATGGTTCGCTTTGAACACGCACAATGTCATGGCCTCTTCCAAGACTCTCCGCATCTCTGTCTCACGACCACTGGCGGACAAACACCTCGCAACGTGTGGCTAGTGGAAAACCATACTTGGTTAGATACCTCACTTGCAAGAAAGGATATTTTTCATCCAGCTTGTTCTGTGTTTGAATCATGACACCAGGACAGACTTTGAGATGAACATGTGGTTCTGACTAAGTTCTGACTCACAGCTGGAGTGCCAGACTTGACGAAGTGAGAATCGTGAGCCCAAAGCTTGAAGCGTATAAAGAATGACGCGTGACAATACCCACAGTCTCATATCAACAGCATTCGAAGAATGGCATCGAAACAAAAATTCTCAGTATCCCATCCGAATCTTCGGCTTCCGGCTCGTCCAACAGCTTGCTGGCCACCCATCTCCAGCAGCAACTGGTAGACCTTCAACGCGCAAGGCCCGAAGGCACAAGCCAAGTCTGGGACTGCAATCATTTGAGAAAGTGGAGTTTCTACACGCATGTGTCGTTCAGGGTTGCATTAGTTCAAGATAGTTGAAGTAGCCACGTCTTGGCAAGTTTTTTGTTAAATCCATGCCACGCTTGGGGAAGGGAGTGGCTTGATTCTTCAAAGAGTAAGCCATGTGGTCCACATTGGTCCACCAAATCCCAGGAGACTCATACACTAAAATAACAAACCTACCTCCCAGTTATCTCAAGCAGTCCATGTCTTCCGAGTCCCCAGTCCCTTCACCATCGCACCTACACTGTCTTAGCTTTGAACCAGGTGCAAGGCGAAGAATGGCAGCCTGGCTGGGACAACACTGCAATTCGCTTGGTAAGAGATATATTAACCTGGTTTACACATTTCTGGATCGAGACACGTCGAGAAACAAGATCTGCAATTGTCTGCAATATGCATCGTTGAGAAGACAATGGCGCGGGTGGTCGGGTCCAACCATTGTATAACTCGCCGGGCCCTAACCTCTCTTACCACAAAATGCATGGACGTAAGGGTGCGAGTCCTTAGAAAATCATTGGTGAGGGTATGGTCAAAAACCGTTCTGTAGACATGTTTGTGGTTCTGTGGTTCCCATTCTATATTAGGGAATCTTGACGTCGATGAATTTGTGGAATACCCGAGAAACGATCTCCATGCTTGGAAACTGCAAGGTTGGAAGCTTCCAAACGCAAACAGGGAGTCTGCTAACCGCAAAAAGCTTCCGGAACCCACCTGTCGAAAACCTGAATGTAGGCTGAATCACTGTCCTAGAAGACCCTTTCTTGTGTCAAGGACTGTCGGTCATCTCCAGGGTCGTCTGTTTCATCGCCCGACTCCGGCGGACGCGAACCGCCACCCGAACCGCCGACCTCGGGGCAGCGCAGTTCGGAGGGCAAGGCTGCAGGCACTTCCCGACAGCTGGAGGCCAAGACCTGGGAAACCGAGGGAAAACGTCTTTTTGATGAGATTGGTTTGTTTGAGATCTGCTGAGTCCAAACTCACGAACAACTCCTCTCATGCTTCTCTTTTGGAAGAGTCCCATCATCTCTCATGTCAGAGAAAAATATGATTTTCCAGAGAGGAAACTTCTTCCGTCCTGGCTCTACGGTCCGTCCAGCTTCCAGGATCGCGGTCGACACAGAACGAAGAATTTGTCCCCCCACCTCGGCAATTCCGGAGTTGAGAGGTGGAGCTGACCAGCCCTCCAGCCTCGAAGGAGCAAACCATGTCTTCATAAAACGGCCAAGTCACGGATTCTCACCGAGAATCGATGGCCTCCAACCCAATAGCGATGGCCTTCAACCTAGAAGCGATT